ATTCACAATTTTCTGTGTCGTTATTCGAAATTAGCGATAAATCTACACTAGAACATGCACATTCATTCAATGATTTACCCGAAGATGAATTTCAAGAAAGCGAAGTTGATGAACCGATAGAATCAGAGGAAGAAACGTACTTTCGTTACTTACTTTCGATCTTTTAATAAATGAAAACCAAATTCTTAATGGGGAGACAAACAAAGTCATAGAGTAGAGGTGGATTAATTTTAAAATTTTGTTACTTACCGTAGGTTTTGAATGAAAAACTCCCAAAAAAGAAATGGGAAACGCCAATTGTAACTATCAAATACCAGAAAGTAAACTGATTCTAGAGTTTTGATCAATTGAATAAGAAAAAAGGGTCTGCATGATCGGTCTCGATATGATTTCTTCTTTGAATGAGAAAGAAGCAAACCAAGTTTTGCAGTCATCACGTGCGTTATATCAAAGGAATCATCGTTCCGTTTTTGAAAAATTTATTTTATCGAAATTTTTAATCGTCTGATAATATCATAGGTGAAAAAAATCGTCCTTAACTTTCAAAAAAAGCATAACACTTTTACACTTGGCTGGAATGTTAGATATAGAATGAATGAAGAATTATTCTGTTTTGTGTTTTCTCACTGTTTAAGGTGTCTGAGATAGTGATTGTTGGTTTACCGCGCAAAATGCTTGTCCACAATGCACCCTAGGCTATGAAAATCATTGAAGAATCAAAGGAGAAGGAGAATAAAAGACACTTACTGGAATTGACCAAAGTGATATCAATATAAATGAGACAACAATCACAATTAAGAGAACAGCAATTGTATACCATTTTGATTTTTTCCAGATAACATGCTTCCATGTTTTCTATGGTGATGAAATGAAATCAAATGAAGATTCAGGACGTCTAAAATAAGAAATGTTATGCTGTTGATTTTGATACTCGTTCATTCTTACTTGGTGGTTGCAAAGTGGGATTTTCATTGGGATCTCCACGTGCTTTGTCAGCCGATCGTGCTTGGGCTTCTTCTTCTGTTACTATTTCAAGTTCTAATCCCACTTTGCCCTAGAAATATTCACTAAAGTATAATCACTTCAACCAGATTAATTTCAAATTATTCAGCAAACTTTTCTTCTTTTTGTTTTCCAGCTAAAAACGTTTGTTTTTCGACTCAAGATGTCAAATTATCATTACGTTCTCAAGTAATTCTTTTTTAAATCTTCAGGTATTTTAGCTAAACTCTTATAGTTTTTCACTGGAATTTTGTAGGTTTTCCACTAGAACCTTCCGGTTTTCGGGTAAATTAAAAAAAAAAGAACCCGTATCCAACCTTCGGGTCGGGTTGCACATCTCTATTTCTGCTACGTGATACAGACAAACAAAAAGAAGTTATGGTAAGTAGCTTAATTACCTAGTTTCTGCACAAATGATTCAGTTGCATTATATGTACAAACGATTTAATGCAGCAAATTCCAAAGCATTGGATAACGAATTAGTAACGTAATTAACGGGTGATTTAGATACCAAGTAACGCATTTCTGATGCAGATCAGCTCAGAAATTGATCGAAAACTCGAAGTTTTCGGGAGAGATCTCAGTCATCACTCACGTACCCCCGACGTTGCTCGTTTTTTAGGCTGACATGGAAACCTTTTAAGTTTGGAATATCAATCAAAAAAACCTTTTTTCTTACAAAATCCATTTACAATACTCAAAGGACTACTCAAAGGAAGTAACCGCGACAAAATTATTTTAAGTTTCAACTAAATCCTTACGTGATGCGTAAACTTGCTCGTAAACCGATAAAGATAATTCTATGTACTACCCAGGTCGTTCATTCCTGACTCAGAATCGGGTAGGAGCCGCTACGATCCAACGTCGGAAGTCACCGGAAGGCATCGGATTCCGACAAAATTCGTTCCGATTTGTGGCCTGATACCTTTCCTACTGGTGATATGTTCTTCCATCTCTTTGCTAGTCATTAACTTAGCTGTCGGCAGGAGGCTAGCTGGAAGTGTTTTTTGTGTGATTGCTTCAACTCTTTACACACTCAACAAACAAGTAGTATTTTTCTGGCAAGCCACGAAAACTAACCGCAGGGAATACATTGCTCGTCGCATCGTGCTCTCAAGAAGAAGACATTTCAGAAAATCCTAAAAAGGTATAACCATTTTAACCTTATCGCTACTGCCTCAACGTTTCTGGTTCTTATCAAGAAACTATTTTCGTTTTCTAAAATCTGGCTTAACTATGCTGTGAAAAACGTTTTCATGTCAGAGAAAAACCTTTTAGGTATTTTAAAATACCAAAAACATTGCGGGTTTTTAAATCTGGTCTTATTCGTATTCTATAATATCGAAAAGAATTGTTTTGATAAAAGTAAAGCAAACATGTAAACAGTTATGATAAATGGCTATACTATTTTCCGTATTTCAAAATACCTTTTCGTTTAGAGTGCACCGTAATGAAACTCCTTGCACCCGTGATCTTGCTTAAGATCTTGAGTTAAGAAATGTCAGAAAGCCTTGAATGAAACATCAAGAAGTCCAGATCTAGGATGAACCCACTTAAGACATTTCACGATCTTGAGTGACAAATTTTTTACCTGTTGTCTTTCCCTGTTATTCTAATGACTTAAACGGTGACATTAACTGACACCCTAAAAAATTCGGATGAAGTCCATCATACATCATACCTTTTTCAAAATTCACACTTAAAAATCAATATTTTGTTATTGACATAATATTTTCACTTGTTTATTATAATCTGTTATTTTATCGAAACTGCATTCGTTTAATTTAGGTGCTCGAATTTGGATTGCTACCATACATACTTTCATTTTTGAATTAATCAATTCGATAGTTTCAATTATACTTTCGGTTTCTTCAATACATTTACTAACACTTTGTTTATTGATGCAATTTTTTCCGCAAACGAAAATAGCTGTATTTGATGCTTGCAGCAGATTTTCATATTTTGTTTTAAGAGAGAAAAGAGGAAAACAAAATGTGTAAAAACTTCTTTCTTCTAGAACAAAAATATACTAGCTGTATCTGTATTGTGTTAACTATTGTTTTCTCTCTTATTCTACTTTCTCCTTCTTCACCTAGTTACATATAACTGACTTTATTGAAATGTTATTAATTATTCACCAAAGTATTCTGTTCGTACGCTATCAGTGTCTCTTTTAGTGCTCTTCAGATTTCATTTCTTTCATGTGCCAATACACACCTGTGATTGTTTTGAGTAGCATGAAAGAATAATTTTGAATATGGATCTGTTGTATTTAGTATTTTTTGATGCTGATCCATTCTGATATCAACTTCATACATTGTTGTATCGATTTTTTTTGTATCGATGTGGACAAACATGGTGAACAGATACTAACAGTAAGAAAATCGTGTGAGAGAATATCAGAGAAAAAAAAGGTTTAATTGAATGGATACTTTAGAGAAGAAAATCATCAGCATAAACCTGTGTTTTAATCAAGTAAAACTTTTATAGAACGGATAATATGCACTATTTTAGTCAAAAACATCCGCAAAATCCTTTCTCTCAAATATTCGCTAGTGGCCGGACAAGTATGACCCTATACTTCTTAAAAATTGTATCTCATTTTAAATATTGAATTGAATGAGCACAATTATCAAATATATAGAGTATTGAAAAAAATCAATGATAGTTCAGTGATTGGCCTCTGAATCAAAACAATATCTTGACAATGTATAATGGTTTTTGTAGATTATTTCTTGCCATAAATATGACGCACATAAAGTGCTTGTCAAAACTATTTGACAAATCTTCAATTTTGATTGATTTCTTTAATTGTGATATCCAGAAGAAATCCAAATAGTGATTTGGAAAATCAAATCTTTCATTGATGGTTTTGTTACCCGAGAATAGACAGATATAATATGAGGCAGATGCTGATCGAAAATTTCTGTTTTGCGTTCATATTAGCTCCAGTTGAAAAAGGAAATCTGGAAACCACCCCCATGAAAAAAGAGCTGTGTGATAAAGGCTTCCAAACAATATTATATTGCTGCAAGGTTCATATCCCATTGCTAAAAGTTTCCAAATGACCCATTGGCTTGGCTCTCTAAAGTTTTGGTATATGAACCATATAAAGTTCGATATCATAGATCGGAATTTTAGCACATTTGATAGAGTTTTCACGCATAGTCCACCTGATTGAAAACTCATTCAATCTTCAAATCACTGTTCGGATCTCTTCTAGTTGAAGTAAAAAAAGCTTGTTTGCCTAGTGGGCATAACTGTGAAAATTTTCTTCCTAAATATCCATATAGTATAATGAATATAGTGAATGAAAACATAGTGGTGCTTTTACAAGACGAACGAGAAAATCCACCCTGTTTCAGTTCTATATTCGAGAAATCTTTTAAAACGATGTGTTTTTTTCGTTCTGCTTTTACAAATATAGAGTGAAAAAACTCGACTCTCGTCTGCACTATCATTCGGTCGCTCGTAAGGGAAATAGGTAACAGAACATGCAAAAACAGCCAGCATGATATAATCAACTTCATCTAGCGTAAGATTTTCTTAAAGAAGATTTAGACTATCGTCTGTTTGGAGATGATATTTTAAGAAAAAAAAGCTTCTTATATTTCTTTTTAAAGAAATACGTGAATAT